TTTTCTCTGGAGGAGCCTTAGTATTATCCACCACGGACAGTGAGGACTTTGCATCCCCTGTGAATGCAGACGCAGTTAAAAATACTTTGCTTAAAAGAGACCCGCTGACACAAAAAGAAAAGTCCAGGCAAAAATGGGGCATCCCGGCGAACCATAAAAAAGAAAAGGTTCGAGCAAAAATTAGAGATAAAAATTGAAAAAAGATGTAAACCCGCAAAGTTGAAAACCTGAAAGGCGACTTTGGCAAGAATGGGTATCCCGGTGAATTGAAAACCCGAAAGGGCGGTTCAGGGCAAAAGTTAGGGATTGAGAAACAAATGACTGCGCTCTGCGTATGAACTTCATTGCTTAGTGGATTGGGAGAACCTGAGGCCGGTTTATCCGAATCAATCTCTTCTGAAGATGAAGCGTCGAGAAAGCGCCAGGGTTCAAGCGAGTCATAGAGGAATCACGTCACGTGTTCGTCTGCGCCACATTGCCGATATTGCTGTACTTTTTTTTGTTTAACATGTATACTTTTGTATTGCTTTTATGCATACTTGTAGTTTTTGCGCAGCTTCCTCTTTTCAGACTTGCATCTATTGTAAAAACTTTGCCTATTTACAGGCCGATTATCAATAAACATATACTATTCAGTACTCTGTTGGTGCGCTTTATTTTATGCTTTTACTGTTTTGTTTGTGAAAAAGCCCGATGTTTTTGATGAACTTGCATACATAAACTTGCAGGCTTTGGCCAATAATTGCTAAAACATTGATATTAATTGAACAATGTCACAAATGATGACCAAGATAGGCTTTTTGTATAGGTTGTCTTGTTTGTTCGTCTTTTGCAGGGTTGTTACCCCTTGGGGCAAGGTTTATGAATATGGATGGATTCATCTTCTCCCCCAGACAATGTTGTTCTCCAGCAATCGAGGTTGCATCTCTATCCTAGTAGAGTTACAGGCCGTGTTTAGCATGTCCCTGCAGCTGGCCAATGCGTTTTTATTCCCCGCAGAGTACGAGATTGTGTTCACTCCCAGCGAGTCGAGATTCGGGCGTATCCGATAGAGTAGGTGCCAGGTTTCCCCAACAGTGGCCTGGTATTTCTCCCTCTCACTCAATCTAATTGAAGGAACTCAACTTCAGTAGTACAGACTGAGACATCAGATATAAGTGTTGTTCTCTATCACATAAGTGAGGCTGTTTAGCCTGTTTGTTTTAAGTACTCAGTGGGTTATCTGTTCTTCAGAAGGTTTTGTATTCCGGAGAGTCAGCCCGGGCATTTATCTCAGCAAGTGTTGAATCGCATCCTCGGTTGATTTAGGATTTTCTGTTCTTGTATGAACTTTATCCCCGGTAGGGAGCCTTTCGAGGCCATTTTGGTGTAAGTCCAATTGTTATTGGCATGGGTAAGCTTTTCCCTGCAGGGTTGTTTGTTGCGCCTGACATGATGGTTTCTATTTTCCTGGCATTTACTTTGTTGTTTCAGTTCCGATGCATCTGCATGTGTGCATAACATCTACACAAACGCGTAGCATTTCCATTTCATATGGAGCATTACGCATTTTCAAACATTTGCATGTGAAACATAGACCAGGTTGTTATCTCTTTGTTTCAGGTGTTTCTTCGGAGGTTTGATTTTCCCGTGGTATCCAGACCATGTGATCTCTCTTAGCCCGCGTGGTATCCATACCCTGGCACACGTTATTCCCAAGCAGTATCTTCAGATTTGAATGGGTCATGATAAGTATGGTGATGATCACCTCCCCCCGTTGAGTATCCAGACTCCGGTTTATACCCAGTTTATGAAGTTTTCCTTTTTCTGTCGAGTATCCAGACTCTGGTAAAGATGGTTGTGGTATCCAGACCACGGTGACTGATATTACTTGGCTTTTTCCGTTGAGTATCCAGACTCCGGTATTTTTTCCAACAGGTATTTTCTTGATACGTTGAGTATCCAGACTCCGGTCAAATTCCTTTGTGATATCTAGATCACAACAAGTGTGTTTGTGCCTTACGGTATCCAGACCATGGCTTATGCTCGTTTTGTTACGCTTTCTCCCTCGAGTATCCAGACTCCGGTAAAGTCAGTTGGGTGTCCAAGCCTTGTTGAATCTTGTTTGTACCTTCTCCGTTGAGTATCCAGACTCCGGTGATGGCAGTTATGGTATCCAGACCATGGTAATTTATTTGATGTTCCATGATATTCAGATCGCAGTAATTGTGTTATCTCCTATCGTCGTGCGGTATCCAGACCTTGGCACGTAATGTTTTCTCAGCCTATGTGGTATCCAGATCACGACTAATTTTGTTTCCCAGCAACGTCGTTTGACTTGAACTCGTAGGATATCCAGATCCTGATAATTATATTTCTATTCGCATAGAGCTTCCAGGCTCAGATTGCATCGAGCGTCCAGGCTCCAATTTTTGAGTATTCAGACTCAAATTTATTCATTGAGTATCCAGACTCATATTTGTTAGCCGAGTATCCAGACTCAGGTTATTTGCATAGAGCATCCAGGCTTAGATTGCATTGAGCATCCAGGCTCAGGCTATTGAGTATCCAGACTCAGATGTGTTCTTTGAGCGTTCAGGCTCCAATTTGTATTTTTGAGCATCCAGGCTTTAGATTTATGTTTTTGAGCATCCAGGCTTTAGATTTGTGTTTTTGAGCATCCAGGCTCCAATTTTTGAGTATCCAGACTCAGTTTTGTTTCTTTGAGTAGTCAGGCTCTATTTATTGAGTATCCAGACTCAGAGTTATGTTTTGAGCATTCAGGCTTTGATTTCTGTGGAGTATCCAGACTCCGATAACTTGGATCGTTACCTATTGCCAATATGGTATGCAGACCATGGTGCCGTTTTTGACGTTTGTATTCTCTTTCCCCAACAAGGTGGCTTTGAGATCAATTCTGCTATATTTGGATTTTCTGCAGTTGGCAAATTTCCGGGTTCTTTGGTATTCAACCGTCTTTTACCTTGATTACGTGAAAGTCGTTCGCTTTTCACTCATTCAGGTCCAATTCGTTTGAATAGGGGCAGCTGTTGCACCCCAAAATTTGCTCAACCTTTTCTTAACTTGGTTTATGTTTCATTTCATTTCATTTTGTTCTAGCATTTGCATTGCATAGCATTTTTCATGGAACAGGGGGTCAAAAGGGATGTGCATAGTGTCATACTCCAAATTTGTCCTACCTTTTTTCAAAATTTTTATTTGCCCGATTTTGTTTTTAATTTACCTCGCTTATACAGCGTAGCGTATTTTTCAGCAAAAACGAGCATTTTTACCTTTTAGCCCAATAAGAGCATGCCACGTGGCATCTTTTTATTTGTTATTATTTTTAATTTCTATATATATATATATATATATATATATATATATATATATATATATATATATATATATATATATATATATATATATATATATTTTATTTTAAGATTTAGAATTTAAATTATATTTAGATTAGTTTTTTTATTTTATTTTAATTTTTTAATTAGAATAGATTATTAATTAATTAGATTAGAATTGTTTAATTAAGATAAAATTAAAATAGTGTTAGAATTTAATTAGGATTTATTTTAAAAAAAAATAAGATTAGAATTTAAGTTAGTAATAGTTGATATAATAATTAGAAAACATAATAAAAAGAATTATTAATTAATTAAAAGAAAAAACAAAAATAAATAGAAAAAGAATTAAGTGAGAAAACACGGTTGATTTGTAGTTGGATATAAAAGGGCAACATACCCTAAGGAATTAGGGCGTTACAGTTCATCGAGCCCTAACTTGGGTCACCCCCTTTCAGAAACCCTAATCTCGGTACTGTTCACTATCCCTTTGAAAACCCTAAACGACGCTCAAACCCTAAACGGCCGCCGGAATCCCTTCATCATCCTCTCAAAGACCTAGCCGTCAACCTCCATTATCATTATCCTCACAAGCCCTTCGTAAACCCTTCGTCAACTCTCCCTCCACCTTCCTCATTCTCCTCACCGAAAATACAAAACTCACCATTTCCTCTTCGTTCACCTTCTTGCTCCTCTTCTTCTTCCCAAAACTCTTCCTCCTCCTCCTTCTCCTTCTTCTTCAACCTCATCAATCTCTCCTTGTATCAATTTCCCCGCATTGCAGTCTCAACTCGCTCAGAGCTCAGTAGAAGGAGTTGTCTGGTTCGGTTACATAACCTCTAGATCAGTGTTGTTTTGTTGAACCCTAGAGATATGATCACATTCACATAGTTACATCAAAGAGGAAATTGTTCTTATTCGTCTCTGCGTAGGTAGCTAGGGTTTAAGCTTTTCATCGCCAACATGAGTCCCGTTCAGAATTTCGAGCAACATTCTCGCCATCTTGTTGAGTCAGACCTCACTGTTCAGGCGAGGTTGCAAATGGTGATGGAGGTTAGGGATAGTCTTGAAATTGCTCATACTGCTGAGTATTTGAATTTTTTGAAGTGTTATTTTCGGGCCTTCTCTGGGATACTACTGCAAATTATAAAGCCACAGTTTGTGGACAATCCTGAACATAAGCTTAGGAATATTGTGGTTGAGATATTGAATAGGCTACCACACAGTGAAGTTCGTCGGCCTTTTGTACAAGACCTCTTGAAGGTTGCTATGCAGGTGCTTACAACGGATAATGAAGAAAATGGGTTGATTTGTATTCGTATAATCTTTGATCTTTTGAGGAACTTTAGGCCGACTTTAGAAAATGAAGTCCAGCCTTTTCTGGACTTTGTATGCAAGATTTACCAAAATTTTAAATTGATTGTTAGTCATTTCTTTGAGAACATGGCAATGACAGGGGAGGATGTCAAGCCGATTGATAACTCACTTTCGGATCAAGGTATAAACCCTGCTACTGCCACTGGCTCGCAGCTCAATCCAAGTACCTGTTCATTCAAGATAGTCACGGAGAGTCCACTGGCGGTGATGTGTCTGTTTCAATTGTATAGTCATTTTGTCCAAGCAAATATTCCTCAATTATTGCCTTTGATGGTTACTGCTATATCGGTTCCTGGCCCTGAAAGGGTTCCTCCTCATTTGAGAACTCATTTCACTGAACTCAAAAAGCAAGGGGATCCAATTGAGGAGCGCTACAAAGAACACACAGACAGAGATGCAGTAATTGAGCAGCTTGTCTATTGTATCAATAGTTACGGAGAAGTTGCAGAAGTTGCAATGTCTAATGATCCCAAATTTGATCATATTGATATCAACGAGGAACAGAAGGTCCTGAATGAATGCGGAGAAGCTGAGAACTGGCTTAGAGAGAAGAAGCAACAACAAAGTTTGCTTCCAAAATGTGCTGCCCCGTCCTCTTGTCAGCTGATATAAGAAAAAAGCTGAGGCTGTTGATAGGTCATGCAAGCCGATTATGACAAAACCAAGACCGGCAAAGCAGCTTCTCCAGCTACTCCAGAAACATCAGCAGCCCTACCTCCTCAGGACAGCGAGCGCTAGCAGCAATGTAACAGAGCGGCGACAACTCTCACATGTCGGTTGAAAGGCGATTAGCGATATTGCAGCAGTTCATCAACAACAGAGTAGTTTGTCAGCAGCGAAATCCCATCGAGATCAACCTCTCTTTATTGCCGATGTTGCCGAGTTGCGACAACTCCGGCAACGACTCCGTAAGCCATCAAGGTTTTAACAACAGCTCGTGGTTTCGAACAACAACAGCTTCAACATAGAACGACTTACTTTTTTTCAACGACAACCAGCTCTTTCCCAGCTGACATAACAAAAACGGAAACAAAGTTCATATCTTTCTTTGACAATAACTCGCCGTTTGGTAACGCTCTAATTTAGCTCGTAATTTGTTATTGTTTAGAAGTTAAAATTTAGTATCAACTGCATACATTTTATCCTGGTTTGTTAGAATGTATAAATCATGTAAATAACTTAAGTTTATTTCCTGGGTTCTGAGTGGGTAAGATGATTGTTTAGTGGATTACTTTAATTTGTTAAGTACTGCTGGGTAGATAGTTGTGTCCTTTGTTGATGTGGTCATTCCCATCAGGTCTGGGTGTTGTGCTGATTGGACATGATTGTGTGTTCAAGGTGTTAAACTCTTGCTTCAAATTAATTACGATAAAACGCATTGCGTGCTAGCGACTTGCTGCATATTGAATTGTTGGTTTATGATATCCTATTTTTCGTTCTTATATCAGTAATTGTTAGCAGAGAATATCTTTTGGTGTTGTTGATAAATTGGTATTTCAAAAACATATTTGGTCAACATGTGGAATCATCATGACACCGCAAATTTTTTGCTTTAACTCTGTTGTACTAACCTTATTTTCAATATTATGAGTCATGTTTTCATATACATTTTGACTTCCGCTGCAGTGGGTGAGGTTCTGAGCCAATTTCAAGCTGTTTTCATCTGTTTCACATTAAAGATGTTGTAATACTTTGTTATTTGATGGTTGAAGTTGTATGTTGATAACAGATTGATGTTTGCGCCTATTAGTTGATTGCCGCAGGTTGCATTTGATTTCGGTGCGCGATCACAAAACTAATGTGATGACAGATTAATGTTTTGCGCCTATTAGTTGATTGCTGCAGGTTGCATTTGATTTCGGTGCGTGATCACAATACTATGAAACACGCAGGTTCGACGAGCTTGTAAAGCTAGGCTGGTATTATCGTGCAGTGCGCGGTCTGTGTTTTCAAATGTTGCAGATAAGGTCTATTGGCTGGATTATTTGGGGCTCATTTGGATGCTGAAGAGCCACATTTTTTTTCTTTTCTCTGTTTTCTTTGGTGGATGCAGGTTATAAGTTTGAGATTCAGAAGCTCAAATCCAACTTGGTTCACATCAACAATATTGCCTCGCTATTCTCGTCGCTTGGAGGTTTTGTATCATGAGCCATGGTTGTCGCTTGCGCGAAAATAAGGTGCCGGCATGACAGAAGAGTCGCCACCTTTCGTTATTTATCCCTCGAAGCGGGAAAGGAAACAATCGGAAAAACCTGACGAATAAGGTAAGACAAGTCGTCGCAACCATGTCTGGGTCTGGGAGTCGGTTACGCAAGGGAAGGTATTAACACCCCTCACGTTCGTCGTACTCGACGGGATCCTCGCTGTTTGTTTACTTGGATGGGTTGGGTTTATAATCTATCTACCTATCAAGGCTGGCTGAAAAAGAAAGGAAAAATGACTCGGCAAAGCGTCGCACTTTTATGCCTACGTATTCTCATCAGAGAATGAGAAATCAGAGTCAACGTAGTTCGGCTAACTACGGGTGAAGGTTGAAGGTTGCTCGCTAGGATATCGCATCCTATGCCTACGTACTTTCATCTGGTATGAAAGATCAGAGCAAACGTAGTTCGGGTAACTACGGGTTATCTCCTAAAAGAAGTGTTTTTTATTGTTTGCGATTTCAACCGCACTAGAGACTATGACCTGAGAGGGAATACGTCCTTTCTCAGATAGCTTAAGGCTCGTAACGTACGAAAGAATCATTCATGATTACTGTATCTTAAACGATTTTGAGATGATAAGGGAACAGGCCCAACTAGGAGGGAGACTATCAAGTCCTACTGTTGTCATGCCATGGATTCATCCTATGCTTGAGGTTGAACAGGGAACTCCTAGATGTTGTCATGCATAGGTTTCAACCTAAAAGTCTATCATCAAATCCTCATCAGAGGAAATGAGAGTCCTAAGGGATCATGTCAATGATACACCAAAACAGACAAAAGCATCAGCTTTAATAGTAAAATGCATGCAATGCAAGTGAGGAGGAAATGTGTGTGGGGCTTCAGCCTCCACAAGCTCGTCTCAACCTCAAGCCAGTCATGAAATAACAGTAATCATACTGAAAATAAACAACATGCTATCAAGCAATAACAGATAAGAGAAATGAAGTGCCATCAGGCAAACAAAACACATGCTTGAGAAAGAAAGACTCATCTACTCTCTAATCCTAACCCTAACACAGAATCTGAATCAAATCTAAGCAAAGCCCTAAAGCAAACCTAACCAAAAGAAATCAATCCCAGTCTTCAAGCTTCAGAATAAGCTTACCAAAGAAAGGGAGCTAAGTAAGCAGACTCATAGTGTCTTCCTCAGAAAGCACCAGGAGGTGTATACTCAGGAGTCATATCCTATGTGGCTCAACCACTGTGATCAGTTTATATTCCTCCTCAGGAGAAACTAAACTCACAAGCAGGCTCCAACATCACTGGATATTTAGGAAATCCTATCTGAACTAGTGGAACTAAGTGAATAGACCCATAGACCTTCCTCAGAAAGTACTAGGAGGCTTCCACTTAGGAGTTGTATCCCATGTGGCTCAACAACATGTGATCAGTTTACATTCCTCCTCAGGAGAAATTAAACTCACAAGTTGTTCTCCAACATCATTGGATACTTAAGAAATCCTAGATAATCTAATGGAACTAAGTGAATAGACCTATAGGACCTTCCTCAGGAAAGTACTAGGAGGCTTCCACTTAGGAGTTGTACCCCATGTGGCTCAACAACATGTGATCAGTTTACATTCCTCCTCAGGAGAAATTAAACTCACAAGTTGGCTCCATCATCATTGGATACTTAAGAAAGAGGTGAGAAGAAAGGATGAAAGTCATTCATAGTGCCTTCCTCAGGAAAGTACCATGAACTTCCTTCAAACTTCGGGATCTCAAACCTCACAGACAGGGAATAAGCCAAGCTCTGGGTCTCTGAATCTTGATCTACAATCTTCACTTCATCATGCTCTCCAACAAGGTCTTCCAGACAACACAAGCCCCACAACAAATCCCCCAAAATAAACCCCAGAGATGAACAGATAACCACAGAACAGACAAAATCACCAGGCAACTTCAGAAAATACCTAAAAATACTAAACCAATGGGGAAAAATCTAACAGTTATTCACAAGGGTCTACAATATCTATCCATAACATCCACATATGTCTCTACCCAAAAATCAAGACAAAACTATCTAAAGAAGATGAATTTCCTCACCTATGCACAACATAAACCCTAATTAGACTATCCTAAGGCTACCCTAATTAAACTAATCAAATTCTAATCTAAAAATCTAGAACAAATCCTATGGGGAACTATGATTCATCATCTAATTACACAAAAAAGAATGAGTTAAAAAACCTAAGGGAAAGTTCTAAAACAATTCTTGCAAAATAAGGTATCAACTAAAAGAAAGAAAATACACTATATTAAAGAAAATACCACTAAAAATTCTACATTAAAAATAAAATTCCATTTTTATTTTTATTATTTTCTACACATTTATATCTAATTATAGCAAAAACAAGAAATCAAAAATGATTATTTTTCATTTATTTATGATTTTTACAAGATGCTAAAAATATTAAAAGACTTAAAAAGAAAATAAAACAATTAAAGGGGAGGGGGTGCGAGTAGCAGGGTTCACTAGTCCATTTTTTATGGGCCAGAAATTGGGGGGGGGGTGCGCGGATAGGAAGCAGATAAGCCCAGGCGCCTCCACTAAGTGAAACGACCGCGTTTCCTTTTTCAAATTTCCCTCCACTTTCTGGACGAATCTGGGCCGTTGGATTGAGGGACAAAGTCAATTCTTCAAAGCGAATCAAGGGCGGAGATTATGTCTTCCTCCTCCAGCCAGCTAGGGTTTCACGAGACCCCCTCCATGCACAAGCTTTCCCCTCACTCGTTCTCTCTGCTCAGTGGATGAAATTCCACGATTCCAAAACGAAAATTGCTCTACTAATCAAGAGGAACAAGACTGCACGCATACTTTTTTCTAACTCTCTCTAGATCATCCCAACAGAAGCTTGCAAGATCGTGGTCTGAATGAAATCCTCTGAGATCAACCATCATTAACCTTGAATCTAATGGCCTACAGTTGTTCTACAAGCTACCCTAACCATTCTAAACTAATTCTTGCTAACTAAAACTAACAAACCAGTCAATTCTTGAAGATTAAAGTTTCATGGCTCTGTTATGGAACTCCATGAATCGTGCTATAACTCCTAGGGTTTCATCTTCTAACCTAATGCATCAGTTCTATGCCTATAAAACTAATTAAAACTACATAAATTAGGAGATAGAAGGAAAGAAAGAAACCTGTCAAGTGATGATGGAGAAGGTATGAGGAGAAGGTTTCAGGCCTTGTAATTGCTTCAGGTCACTCTTCCAATGGGGAGAAACTTTCTGTTTGCACTTGTGATGATGGAGAAGGTCTGCAATGGAAGGAAACCAGAGTTGCTTCAACTTGAAGAAATCTCTTCAATGGATGCTTCTCTCTCTCTCTCCCCTCTGAATTCTCTTGCTATCACCAACCTTGAACTCAATGAAGATCACCCTTCTTATAATGATGGATGGAAA